TGTGCCCAAAGCTCAAGACACAGCCTCTATGAGAAGGGAACTCAGAATTAAGGGAAGGAGATCATGAGGAAGAGCTGACCCAGGCAAGTTGAGTTCAATTTTGTTTGCAGAGAAGGCATGGAGGGTGTCATTCGCAAATGGATGGAACAGCATGAACAAGAGCCATGAGGGAAAAAATGTGTAGACTGTAAATATGGGCCTGATGGAAGGAGAAGGGCCAAGAGCAGGGATGAAGGGGTAGGTGAAGGGAAGCACTGGGATAGTAGCCCAAGTGGGGAGAGACAAGCATAAAATTTGAGGAATTAAGTTATTTTAAAAAAGAAACTTTTTAATGTTTACTCATTTTTGAGAGAGACAGAGAGAAAGAGAGACAGAGAGCAAGTAGGAAAGGGGCAGAGAGAGAGACGCAGAATCCCAAGCAGGCTCCAGGCTCTGAGCTGTCAACACAGAGCCCAACATGGGGCTCAAACTCAAGAATTGCGAGATCATGACCTGAGCTGAAGTCGGCACTTAACCGACTGAGCCACCCAGGTGACCCTATGTTGAGTTATTTCAGAAAGAGACTGCTTACATGAGCAGTGACTCCCCTACATGCTAGAAAAGATTAAACCAGTCTGGAACTAGCACAGAGGTCCTCAGAGAAATACTCCCCTTTTTTATTACACTAGCTTCATTTATTTAGAAAGTTCTTACCGGCTAAGCTCTCTTCTTGCATTATCACACTTGATCCTCATAACTACTCCGGGAAATACGTATTCTCATCCATAAGAGATGAGAAAATGGTGTCTTTGAGAAATCAAGTAACTTTCCCACTGTCATCCAATTTGAGCTTAAGCCCAGGTCTGTGGCTTCACAATTCATACTCTTAACTCTTTCTCCTTAGAAAGTCACAAGTCATGTGGATTGAGTTGAAATTCGGGAAACACACTGTTTGGTTTCAAAGGTGTTGGTGGCTTTTCTGAACTCACAGAGAAATAGTAAAATGGAAGAGATGTGAAAGACAAGTATAGTAACCATCAGACTCCACATCCTTCTGATGTTCCTGATAGATATCACCCAACCTATGCCTGAACACTCTCCAGTGTGGGAGTTCACTCTTCATGGGGATGGTGATCCAATTTTTAGAAGGTTTCCATCAGTAAAGCCTAACTCTCTTCACCCCTCTATCCTAGATGTGGCAAAATACACTATCTATGGGGTCTTGTACATGGAAACCCTTAAAAATGCTGATCTTGGTCTCTTTTCCCTGGCTAAATAGTCCCATATAAAATGGTTTCTAAAGCACGTACCTTCCTGCTTGTCCACTATGTTTACTGCCAAATTTCTCAATGTCTTCAGTGTTTAATGGGTATTCTTTGAGCAGTACAGTGATTACCATTTCTAATTTGGACCTTATATATCTACTAAAGTGAACTGTTGCAGCTTATAAATTACCTTTTCAGCAAGCAGAGCACATGTTGGCATCTATGAATTTTGTGTATCACCAAAACGTGTTATTCACTAGGAATTTGAATAAACAGGGGCGCTTAGGTGGCTCAGCTGGTTAAGCATCTGACTCGGTATCAGCTTAAGTCATGATATCAAGGTACTTGAGTCTGAGCCCCACACCAGACTCCGTGCTGACAGGGCAGAGCCTGCTTGGAATTCTCTCTCTGCCTGCCTCTCTCTCTCTCTCTCTCTCTCTCTCTGCCCCTCCCCCACTCACTTTCTCTGTCTCAAAATAATTAACTTAAAAAATTTTTTTAATTAAAAAAAAAGAAAACTCAACAAACCAAGTCTCTCTCACACTGAACATACATACATCCATTTATTGAAACCAAACTCATGACTTCACATTCATCTATTTTAAAGGGCTGTCTCTTGGATTTGGTCCACTCATCCAGCCTAGAGAAATCATTTGAATCCAGGTTCTATGCTCTGACCGATAAGCCATCTACAGGGAATTGTGTAATAAGTTACACAATTACATACCTATCTTTTTAGGAGTAGTCAAATAGACAACGTCAGAAAAATTTGGAGCCCACCCATATGAATCTCCCAGAGGACATAGCATAGTCCTCTGAAATGGCCTTGGAAGAGTTCTTCCCTCCTGGAGGGATGTCTTAGAAGAGTTGGAGCTCTTGCAGGAAGCTCTCCCAGCATAGAGCTGAAAGGGAAATGCTGACATTTCCAACAGAGACAATGCTTAGGAGGGAGCATCTGTGAAGAACACAAAACTCCTCCCTGTGCGAATAATTCCCAGGTGTGTCTCTGGTCCCAGCTACTAGACCTCCACCCTTGATTACTCAGACTTGATATAGCCTTCCAAGACCAGCCCTAATGAGAAGGTTCCCTCTGGGACCACTTCCCTGACCTTATAACCGAATTTCCACTGTCATTCCAGATAAGATATCCACTATCTCTGAACCCAGGTTGTTACTTAAAATGTCAAATGAAACAACAAAGAGATATGAAGGCATACTACTAGAGACTTCCCAGTGGGTCGGTGTTGATCATATAGGACATACTATGATAAAGCAGAAAGAGTAATTTGTTGTATTTTGTATTGCTATATACACAACTCTTTAGAGAGAACAGCCTAGTTTGGTGAGGACGGGAGAGTGGGGAAAAGCTAGTATGTTTATTATAACTTGTTTGTAAGCTGAAATTGGCCATGATTCTCAATAGGGAGGGGAATGTACCAGAATCTAGGTAGGTTGGGGAAGTCTTCTGAAAATTATATACCTCTTCCAAACCTCTTACGGATATCTGCCACCCAAAGCCACCTTCACTGAGGCAAATGTGACATATTTTTTCAGTCTTATTTGTTACAAAAAAAAAAAAAAATCAGAAACAACCCATTGGAATAGAGAGAAAAAACCATAAACCATAAGTCCCTTGTTCTATTACTATGGTCTACCAGGGGAGTTTGGTGCAAAGAATGGGCTCCTATGCTTGTAGATATAATCATGCTGGATTCTTGTCACAATTACCAAGCCTTGTGTGTTCATGTCCATGGAGAGTTATACTGGGAAGGGAACTTAGGATTCCAATACCACAGACCTACCCCAGAAACCAACCTTGCTAGTGTCACCTTTCCTTTTCAATAGGAGGATGAAATCCCTCTCCTTGGGCCTCTCCCTGTTGAAGTCAGGGCTATGTTTCCAGGGAACTAAGGTCTAGACAGGGAGCAACTGTTTCAACCACATAATTTTTTGGTCTGATTTTATGACAGCTCTTCTAAGCCTAGACTACAAAGTGCCATGACACAGTCACTTTGAGGGGCAAAAAGTGAATTAAAACTGTGTGTGTGTTGGCATGTGTGTACACATAGGTGATTTAACTTATAAAATAGCTCAGACCAATGATAGACCCTGAGCTTTGCGTTACTAGAATCCCTGGTGTAGAATTAATTCCAGATTTCATGTTACTCATAAGTATGTCACACAGAAAAAAAGCCAAACAAAAATGGAATCATGATAATTCTTTCATTTAAAGGTGCATATAACAGGAGAAATTAACACTTCTATGTTAATATAAGTTCTACATAAATAGTGAAAGCATCTCAGCAACTGACATTACACGTTCTTAGTCTCAAAATATGATTAAATCCTCAATATAACGGGGTGTTGAAAGTGATCTGAAATGCTATAAACAAGTTACATGCAATTCTTTTCTCTTGTTGGATTAATTTTTTGAATATTTAATAATTTCCAAACATATAGAAAAGTATGAAAATAATGTAGCACAAACTTATGTGTATGTTCAGATCAAATTCTAAGAATATAATATAGTCTGCAACATTCAATTCAGTACGTTTGCCCAGTTCCATTTCCAGTATCATTTCTATCTTCATTACAATAATTAGAATGTTTTCAAACTAAAAGGGAGAAACCTAAGGCGATTAGAGTTGTGATTTGTACTTCATGTTTGGATACCACTTTCAGACAGCGTCCCTCAGGGTGGGTAAGCATCAGAGGCATGCCACTGTGTGGAGAATCTGGGCAACACACACACCAGATCTAAAAACATGCAAGCCAACCATTCCTTAGCCCTCCAACAGGCTTTGATCTTCTCCTGTGCCCGGTAATCTGGATAAGTGCCCCAACTTTCATTTCACTGGGCCAATAAAGACTTTATAAATTACTACATGCCAAGTATTTTTTTTAAAGAAACAGAAAATAATTATATAGCCATGACCCAAGGTCTAATAAAAACCCAAAAAGCCTAGAATTTGATTGCTTTAACTAAAATGGGATGTGGCTAGGGCCCCTGGGTGGCTCAGTCAGTTAAGCATCTGACTTTGGCTCAGGTCATGATCTCGTAGTTCAAGGGTTTGCGCCCACGTAGGGCTCTGTACTGACAGCTCAGAGCCTGGAGCCTGATTCGGATTCTGTGACTCCCTCTCCTCTGTCCCTCCCCTACTAGTGCATGCTCTCCTGAATGCTCTCTCTCTCTCAAAAAAAAATAAATATTTTTTAAAAATTTGTAATAGGATGTGGATATGACATCTTTATAGAAAAGCATCTTTGTTCTCCTTTAAAAATGACAATCTGTACATTGCCTTAAGTGGGTCCCCATAATTGTCTGCATGAATTTCATTTTTTAAAAATTATGCAAGATTTTTTTGAAGCAGATAAAACTGGGTTTGTTTGTTTTTTTTAAATAAGGTAACAATCCCAAATGAGGAAGAGTAAAATAATGTGCCATAGTAAGTGATTCTCCACAAATAAAGTGACCTGATCAGTACTCATAGGGTCTGTGGCAACATAGGGGGCAAATAAGCGGAAGGGAAACTCTCAAAAAACTCAGTTCCAAGCCACAAAGACATTGCATTTTAATCCTCACATCTATTAAATGGAAAGTCCTAGAGAAACAGTGCCTATAACACAGCTGCCCTTTGTTAACCAGAACTAAATACTGGTGAGAAAGCCCAGTATCATTAACTGTTAAAGAAAGAAAGAAAAAAGAAAAAAACCTAAAAAATTAAATTAAAAAAAGGCAACAAAGCCAAACCTTACCAGAAAGGAGCAAGCTGACTCCATAGAGAACTAAGCCAGCTAAAGAGTCCATGCTTCCCCAAATCTCTCCATCCAGTTTCCGCAGATGTGCATGAGGTCCCAAGGATCCTTTCAGACACCAAGAGGTTTGTGACTTTCCATTCGCATGTTCTACTGGGTCCTGTTTACAAGTCAGAGGCAAGAAGGAACAGCACAGAAGCAGGCTGTAACAGTCTCATTTCTGTCTGAGCACAGGGAGTTTTAAGTTCCTTTTTCCTGTTTCCTTTGTAGATTAGGATGGGAAAGGCTGTATCTTAAAGGCGTTTGGTATCAGCAGGGCTGGGGGCACTGAAAGCCCTATCCATCTTGCAATTCATCAAAACACTTCTCTGTTGCTGTTGCTTCTGCTGCTGCTTTTGCTGCTGTTGTGGGGATAGAGGAATTTTTGTTGGAAGTGTGGGTCCTGGTCAGCGTTTTCAGAAACAATAGGGGTATCCTCTCTTAGGCGGGAAACAGAATAACAGCCCTCCACCTACGTGTGGTATGCGATGATCACCAGCCCTTCTCAGCCTCCAACAGCTCTCCCGGGTCCACCTGGGATCCCTGACAGAAGGGGCTTCTGGGTGTGGGGCGGAATTTTTGCTTTTGTTTTCTCATTTTAACCCACATGGGTTGAATTGGGAAAGGAAGGTTTCCGTGATGAGAGAACACAACCCGAAAGGCAATTAATTTGGATAATTACCGGTGAGGTCAATGTGCAGTGCAGCCACGGAGACCAGAGTCCAGAATTGTTAGCCTGTTTTCTTTCACACACATGGTTTATTTCTTGGCCAAGAGCCCAAACATATCCATGCTACTGGCTATAGCTTTAATTTTTGCTAACAATTCATCTGAAGGTGATCTCATTTCTTAAAGAACTTGGCCTAGAAGGATTTTGGTAATGAAACGGGTTTCATGGTTCTTGGCCAACAGTGTTTCAGAAGCAAATTATATACAAAACCTTAAAAATAACTGGTGTCAAAACCAAATGTAAGGGATTTGATTTGGGATCAAAAGAGCATTCCTAAGAGCAGAGAGAATACATAGGCCAAAAGAAAAAGAGCTTTTGGAGTAACCATATCTAAAATGAGATCAGAGATCCTAAATTTATCCAGAAGATAGTTTCTCCATAACACAAACTATGACTTCAGAACCGGGTGTCATTGTTTTTGTTCACCCTGCCTTCATGCCCTAGGAAAGAGCCGTCCGCTCCTGCTTTCCCTGCTCACCATAGGAAAACAGAGACGCTGCTGGCTTTGCCACATTTCTCTCCCAGGTTTTACCACATCAGTGACAACTCCAGGACCAATGGATGTTTCCAGCTGGGGCAGTAAAGTGCAGGCTTTTTTTTTTTTTTAGGTTTATTTATTTTGACAGAGACAGCAGGGGAGGGACACAGAAAGAGAGAGAGAGAGAGAGAGAGAGAATTCTAAGCAGGCCCCACGCTCTCAACTCAGAGCCCGATGTGAAGCTCGAACCCACAAACCGTGACATCACGACCGGAGCCAAAATCAAGAGCCAGAAGCCTAATCAACGGAGCCACCCATGCACCCTGCACAGGCAGTTTTCAAGCAGACCTGGGTTCAGACACTTACTCCACCGCATGTTTACTTCATCTCTTTGATTGTCAGTTTCAACAGCTGTTACAACAGCACTAATATCTCCAACCTGGGGATTTTAGAGAGGATTAAATGAGGCTGGCATGATGCCTATTCATCGAAGGCTTTCATTAAATGTTAATATATTCATTTCCTTAGTCTTTCCCTTCAGGCTCTGATTTTGGTCCCAAGGGATTCCTCCCAAAAGCCATTCTCTCATCTTATGAAATGGCTTTGAGTTTGGTTTTGCAAGGAACCAGGCTGGCAGTGGGGGATTCTGAGCTCTACTCCCAGCTCTGTTCTTCCTGTGAGGCCTTGGACTAGTCATTTCCCATCTATAGGCCTCAGTTTCCTCAACTGTAAAATAAAGGGTTTATACTGGATGTGACTAACTTCCCTCCAATTGTAACAGCTTGCAAGTCCAAATGACTAAGCTGTCCCTGACAGCATGTCCTCCTAGGTTCCCAGGTCCTCTCCTCTGGGCTGTTCAGAGACGATGCTAGCTTTGTGTCTGTGTCACTGCAGAACCTGAGAGGGTCACAAACGTGCTCTATTTTGAGAACGTGGTGGCTGAAACTTTGTGAGGTCCTATGGCCCCGGGCCATATGGAGCAGACTTGGAAAGCCTTGGAAATAAACAAATTCCAGGGCACCTGTCTCCTCAGCCACAGCTTCCTTTGTTTGTGCTTGATGGCCACACAAGGAAGTCATTGCTCACATTCCCTCCTGTTGGCTACTTCGTGTGGGACAAAGATGCTTCTACCTTCCTTTTCTGGGCTGCTTCCCTCTGTTATGCAGAAAAGCACCTCACTTTCATTCGTCCCCCATTCTCCAGAAAGATCTACTCTTCCCGTGAATTGGTAATCAAGTTCTCTGTCCTTCCTTTCTTCAGAATGGGTGGCTCGGTTTCATCCTGTGCTCTGTAACCCAGAAATGTTGTTCATGTTAGAAAAGGCAGTGTTGCTCCATTATGCAAAAAGAGCTATGTAGTTTAATCTCATCTTGCATGCAGTCCTTTCTCGTGCTATCCAGAGTATTGAGTCCATTTAATAAATAACTGCTAAATTTCCCTAGCCTATGATTGTATAGCTAGGCAAAAGGCTGAGCAACTTCTCTCTGGGATATCTGAATCATTAGCATGTAAATTCCAGGTGTAAAGTGAAGATTACTGTGGACAAACCTGGCCAAACATTCTCTGCTCCAACTTTCTGCCCTGTGGATATTAGAACATGAAGAACCAATCAAGGAACAATAATACAAGGTTCACCACACACTGTGGGGCCGATAGGTCAGCAGAGCTGACTGGCAACACGTTGGGAAGTTGCAAAACTGGATGGCATGCCAGAATTTCCAAGGGAAGGGAGAGGCCACTTCCACGTCTGGACAGGACTCTCCCCAGTACATAACGTATTAAGGAAATACCACATATTTGGACAAGCCACAACCCTTCTCTAGAAAGCTGGCTATGGCCATCATAATGGCATCTCCATTCCCTGAAGAGCCTTGTTGGGGGCCAGCTGGATCAGCTCTCCACCCGTAGCAGCTTAGCTGGACAGGTTGAAATCATCTTCCCACCCTTGCCTGACAAGCTCCTAGCTATCCCCTTAGTCTCCGAAAAGTGTTCTTTAACTGCTCAATCCACATTAGGTCTCCCCCATTCTTCTCTCATAACACTGTGTCTTTTTGTCCATGGTAGTGATCACAACTGGTAATCATACATTCATGTCGTTGTCTCTTTAATGTCTCTTTCCTCCCACAAAGTCTAAGTAATGTGCTCAGCTGTGGGTAGCCCAGAGAGTATTAGAATCCTGGTCTTGGCTTCCAATTTTTGCAAGTTTAATATATGACTCTTTTTTTGCATAGTTCATCTTTAGACCACAACGTGCAAAAAAGTAGATAAATAGAAATATAGGAAATATCATAAACACCAACATGGTATACTCAGACCTTAGGAAAGTATGTGAAATGAAACTTGGACAGATAATGGGAAAAGTCTGATAACACTGAGAGATGTAGTCACTTCTCATTGTGCTTCCAAAATAGTAATAGCTAATATCAGGACCTCTGTGCACTCCATAGCCTTGCTCCAGGGAAATGAAAAGGGGCTTCCTCATGAGTCAAGCACACTCAGTTTAATTTCATTTTTCCAGACATTACTTAAAGCAGAACAAAAAAGAAAAGCAAACCAGCAATGAGGAAACAAAATAAGCAAACGAGGTATTTGGCTGGTTTGTTGTTTTCTATTCTCTGGTTTTTGCACTTACTATATGAAAAACATCTTTAGAAAACATTAAAAATCTTTGAAACAGATTAACAAAAATATCAATTGACAATCAAAAAATGTGAAGAGGTATGGAAAGCATACAATGTTACTAATATACTGGTATCCCACATCTAGAGGTCAATATCACAAATATGTAGCAAAAGCCACAGATGCATATCCTTTAGCTGAGAAATCCACTTTTATGATATACCCCAAGCCAAAGTCAAAGATGTTACCCAAAATGTAGGTCTAAAGGCATTGTAAATTTTTTCTAGAGTTTATTTATTTTTGAGAGAGAGAGGGAGACCAAGTGCAAGCAGGGTAGAGGCAGAGAGGTAGAGGACAGAGGATCTAATGTGGGGCTTGAACTCACAAACCATGAGATCATGACATGAGCTGAAGTAGAACACTTAACAGATTGAGCCATCCATGTGCCCTTATAAAGGCATTATAGAAGCACTGCTGATAATAATCAAAACATGGAAACAATATAAACGGCCAACAAAAATGGATTATTTATATAAGTCATGGTACACAATGAAATAGACAAATGTCAAAATATAGTGGAAGCTTATTGACAATGAAAGATATATATAGTATAAAGTATATAGTACATAGTATACAGATATATATAGTATATAGTATATATATAGTAAATATATACTACATATATAGCATATATATATATAGTATATATATATAGTATAAAGTATATAGTATATAGTATATAGTATAAAGATATATATAGTATATTGTTTATGGGGAATCAACATTTGATGTTGTATATTATATTTGATGTATACAACATTTGATGTTGTATAGTTTTTTGTTGATTGGGAATCAAAGTTTGAACAATATGAAATGTATACACATATGCACATGTGCACACATATACCTACACGATACAATATATATGACAAATAAATGCCAAAACGTTATACTCATTGAACATAGGCACACATGCACCCATATAACCATATGCTATAGTGTATATGACAAATATATGCCAAAATGTTATACTCACTGAACAAATGTTATTTTTTCTAGGTTGTTGAAACACTGATAATTTTTATTTTCCTCTTTATAATTTTCTATAATTTCAACATTTTAAAAGGGACACCTGGGTGGCTCAGTTGAGCCTCTGACTCTTGATTTCAGCTCAGGTCATGTTCCCAGGGTCATGGGTTGAGCCCTGTGTCTGTCTCAGCACTAAGTGTGGAGCCTGCTTGGGATTCTCTCTCCCTCTCTCTGCCCCTCTCCTCCACTTGTGCACGCTCTCTCTCTCTCTCTCTCTCTCTGTCCAAAATAAAAGGAAAAGAAAAATATATTTTTTTAATAATGAGCATATATGTACAAATGAAGAAGATTGGGGGAAACCCTTGAGATAGTTGACCCAGGGCAATAAGATGAACATTAAAACACCCATTGGCAAAGATGAAACAGAATTCAAGTGTAGCTCAGTGTCCAGGAGGTGAGCAAACAGATTTTGGTGTTGGCTTCCTGCAAGGTAGCCTTACCATCCTGCCTTGTGCAGGGGTATAAGCACTGAACCTCCAGCCCCATCACATCTGGCTTCTTAAGGGCTTTCATGAACTTCTTTGTGAACCCGCTATACTTAACGGTGGCTAGCAGAAAAGGAAGGGTCATCAACAATTAAGTCCTGGCTGAAGGCCAGGACACCACAATGAAAGTGGCAACACCCATTCTGGGAGCTGATGGCTATGGAAAATATGGAAAATACCTGACCCTCCACGAACCCCATTTACTCTAAATCTTTTTTTTCTTTTATCATCTAAATGACAAGGACTATGCTTATTACTGTAGGAAGAGACACAGATATAGAAGATGTAGTTTCTACTTTTGAACCTCACAATTACACAATCCTAGCATGACAACAATGCATCAAAACAGGAAGAGTAAAGTAACAAAATCAGGCATTGTGTGGCTAAATACCAAAGGGTGGTACTGGCAGTAAAATTTTTAGTAGTCTCTGCTTTAGCCCATGAGGCACCAATTCTCCTGCCTCTTTTCGTTTCTCCTGCTCTTTCCTTGGTACACAAAGCATCTTTCCATTAAGGCAGGGACTCTGTACTTCATTTCAGATGATCCTATGCTATTTTCTCAATGGCTTAGGGGAAAGACTAACCAGAATGCCTCACAACCACTATGAGACCAATTTGCCACAGACAGAATAGACTGGGAGTATTTTTCATGACACCCCTTCCAACCCCCCCCAAAAAAAACCTTCATAAAAGATAAAAATAGTAAGAAAAAAGAAAAAGAAATTCCTATTTATCCTTCAAAAACAACTCAAATGTCACTTCAACTGTGAAAACCTCTTTGAATATGTAGCTAACGATGTCTTATAAATCATCCCATGACTTAGTGGCTTAAAACAGCAAATATTTACATAGCTCAAGATTTTGTAGGTCAATAGTTCAGGCTCACCTAGACAGTTCTGATCCTACCTGGCCTCCTTCATTTGTCTGTAGTCAGGGATACAAGTTTTCTTGAGGCTGTTAAATTAATTAAACAAGGAAGCTGTTAGACTGAGGTGGTTCTAAAGCTCTGTAGGTCTATGTAAGTAAACCAAAATCTAAGCCTGTAAATGCCTGAAGATTATGAAATCAAAACACTAAGGACAACCAATCGTAGCCAAGTAGGCCTTAAGCTACAGCCAATCAACAATGTTCTTACTTTGCCTCCTCCTCTTCTCTGTAAAAGCTTCTGCCTAACTGGCTCCTGACACTAGGTTATTCCTAACCACTTCTGATTTGGTGCTGCCTGATTCAAAAAAATTTTTGCTCA